TGTCCACTAAGAAATACATAGCATCAAGAACAGTTTCGAAGCAAAAAAGGACAACATGCAAATCAGTATAATCCAGCACCACTTTTTACGAGCTTCGTCAAGCATCACAAGGGGAAAGCTGACGAAACTTGGACTCGATCTCTCAGACGGAAGCTGATAAGACTAGAATGATGGAATAGTCGACGGAGCCGCCTGCTGTTCAAGTTTCCACCCCTTCCACCTTAAATATAACTGCTGTAACTTCCATGGAACCGGTCATAAAAGGACAAAATTATTAATNGACGAAGCCGTCTGCTGTTCCACCCCTTCCACCTTAACTATGACTGCTGTAACTTTCATAGAACATGTCATAAAAGGACAAAATTATTAATTAGGAACTTTAATTTTGAACAAAAACAAACATATACACAATATTTCTCTTTCTGGACATTCTACAAACACCATCAATATACTTAGTATTTTTCCTAATAAATTCGTGATCACTTTTAATATCACTTTTTAAGTTAAAAAATGATGTAAAAAAGTGACAGAAATTAAAAAAATAACCAACAATAAAAAAAGGTAATAGAAAAAAATGACATACACCACAAAAGTAATATGAATTAAAAAAAATGTGACAAAAAGTTAAAAAAACTGCTAACATTTGAAAAGGTGACGAAACACACAATTTGTTATAGAAACATATGTTGTCTCTCAAAAAAGTTATAGAAATTAGAAAAAAAGTAACAAAGAAATTTCGAAAAAGTGATAAAAAGTAACCCCCCAATTTTCACCACCAGTTAACCCATTTCCTCAGCACTACCAACCCTATACGCTCAGTACATTCTCATGGAAATGTGAGGATAGTATAAAAGGAAATAGAGCAAGAGCGTGTTTTCAACTAAAGCAGAAAAATCTTGATTGTAGATTACAGAACAAACACGAACCTAAACTTGCAATTGAATTGTACATATATTGCTAAATTGAATTCTAAAACATAGCATGTATTTACCTACATGTATAGTTGGAAGACGTATTTTTGTCTAGAACTCGAAATTGAATAGAAAGTTCATATTCCATGAAATATGGTAATTGTTATTATCGACTGCAAAAGAAATTCCGGTTAGCAATTGGGCCACATGTCAAAGACCCATCTCATAGACACCTAATTATTATTTTGCCGTGCAAAACTCGTCTCCGACATCGGATTCAAGCGAAGGAAAATAGTGAATGAGCAACCGTCTTCTTGTTGCATTATTTCATATAGGGTTTTGGCCAAAAGAAGATTTTGGTTAGTTGATAGGGTTGGGAATGGGTTGAAACCTGGTGCTACGACTCGATTGCAGACCTGAGTTGGCCGACAATGGTTTGACTCGCTGCAACTTTCCTGGCTTCAAATTCTAATCATCAGCTTCACTAACCTATAATATACTTTCAATTAATCAAATCCCTCAACATAAATTCCTGCGTTTTCAGATGAATTATAAGTATATATAGGTTTGTGTTTATACGTGCACATGGAGTAGAGAATAGGGAGAATCTCTTGTGCAGGGCAACAAGAAGAAGAAAATAAAATTTGAATTTATATTTTATAATAAATGTGAAAATGCAGTATTTTATACTTGAATAATTACTTTTCACATGATTTTTCAAAAGGATCTTATATTTAGTGTATATAGTCTAATTTTTCCTTTCTTTATTTATTTATTATTATTTTTTTTGTGGACGTAGGAACCGCAGTTGATACCCACCAATCCTGACCATCCAAAGGGACGGATGTCCGACCTGAGTGCTTACTAAATAAATCCCACTTCGGTAGCAGCCACAAACCAAGTACCTCGCCCTAGACAAATTCGGTGCGACTGAGAAAGCGTTCACCAGCTCTATCCACTCGGCCACCTCCACGCGTATCATTCTTTATTCATTATGGAGCTAATAGGGCAAGCGCTAAGGTTTTCTTCCTGGGTATTTCACTGGGATTGGTAACAATTTAGTGTGAAAGAGAGGCAAAAAGGGAGACGTATCACCGCCTTTGCACCAATTCATCTTTTGCTTCAGTGATTACTGCTCAACTTCTTCATCACCAAACTTGGAAGGTAGTATCGGATTTTATTAGTGTAAAAAGGGTATTTATACGTTGAAATCGCACTCGATCTGATTTTCGTGAATGATTAATTTCAACTCGACTCCTTATAATTTATATATTTTCCAGAATTGTTATTTCTTGATGGTGATTTTTCCGACAAAATTTCTCACTAATTCCTGATGCGGTTGTTTATTGCCTTTCTTAAACCCTAACCCTACGCATAAACCCTAATTACCCTTTGCCCATGATTTACTCACAGGTAGTCTAATCATTGGTTTGTTTAGTGTGGACTGTTGGTTAACTTTGGCGTTTTATTGTATATGTTTCCTTTGTATGCTGTAATTGTTTATTTTGTATTTATGGATTTTGCGTATATTATTTCGATCTTTTCTTGTTTTTATCTTTTTCATTATTCCGTATGTAGTTTTTAAATGATTCTGAGTCATAGAATAGAAAAAATTAGTTATAGATTTTTTGTTCTTCTTCTACCTATGCGAAAAATAAAGTTGATTTTTGATATTTTGTGTTCTGTGTTATGTTATGTATCATAGTGAAAAATTAATTTTGACTTTGAAATAGTTATCTTGTACGGTAATTAGTGTTTATGGGACTTTGGCATAAGTTTTTCTTTGTAGTTTCTTTTATTAATTTAATTCACTACTTGAACTAGCTATTTCTGTGTGTGAATATGGGTCTGCGATCAAATTAATAAATTATCCTTGTGTGTGACATATTATGTACAATTAACTACTACCAGTTCTATTGGAACAAGTAAAAAGCGTTAGTTTACTCATTGTTGGGTCCTAAATAATATTTCTTGTTTGCTTTTAAAAAATGTGCAGTGTGTTGATGAGTCCAATGGTTATGGTTGCTGAGAGACAGTCTGGAAACCTAGTCTGCTCCCCACTTCAGCACTTGCAATTTTCCACTATGGCAGCTGTGGATAACACACCGAAGAGGAGCATAAAGTTCAAAATCACCTCAAAAGGATTACGGCATGAATCAGCAGACAAGTCACGTGAAAACATGACGATGATCGTGAATAATGAAAGCAGAGATGGAGTTACTGCGAATGGAAAGTCTATTACAGTCAATTTTTCCACGTCAGGCAACTCTAACAAGCGCAAGCATGGGATGATCCTGAAGTGTCAAAGGGAGAAAAAGGTGAGGATGGATAATAGTTTCAAGAAACAGTGTAGGAGCATTTTGAGATCACTAATGGAGCACCCTCACGGATTTGCTTTCAATCAACCAGTTGATCCTGTGGAGCTGAAGATTCCTGATTATTTTTCAATAATCACTGAACCAATGGATTTGGGTACGATAAAGCATAAACTTGAGGGCAATACATACTTCAATGCAGTGGAATTTGCTAGTGATGTCAGGTTGACCTTTTCCAATGCGATGCTGTACAATCCTCCTGGGAACTATGTCCATAACTTTGCAAAGGAATTGAATGATTTTTTCAATAAGAGATGGAAGTTAATGGAGATGAAATTGAAGTGCACAGGCAGAAACTTTGAACAGTTATGCAATTTAGATGAAATGAAAAAGAATGGCCCCACGCTAGTTAAAATTGTTCATAAAGGTTTGAAATGTTTCAGAATAAGTTTGTGGTTTCTGGTTGGTCCTTTGCACGACCTGATTGGCCATGTATCTTGTACGCAGATGATGGCAATCTAAGTGCCTGTGTCACTGCCAATGGAAAACAACCACTTGATTCTCCTGCAGTCGAATGTGCTATATGTGGTGGTCTGATGTGCCAATGCAGCCTTAGAAGATGTTCTATTAAGCCATCTTCTAGTGGTGAGTTAAATTCTTATTTCTTCTGTTTGTCTGCTTCAAGTGTGTTCCTGTCAACTAATTTGCACTGCATTTCACCTTGTATCAAAATTTTCTTCAGTAAGATCATCTGATCGTGATCAGTGTGCTGATTCTAAATCTGTAAGTTTAGCCTCTTCTAGTTAGACCAAATATTTTTATTTAATATGTGGTGCAACTTTTGGTTGATAGTCACCTTGTCCTTTTACATCAGGATTATGCGATTAAATATCCAGTGACGTCTCATACAGGAGAATTAAAGCTGGATTCAGATGGTGAGAGCAATAGCTGTTACATATATGTTTACAGTTTTGTGGCTCGTTTCTTGATTATTTGAGCTTTGACATGCCATTGACTTTGATTTGTAGGGCATGAGAGTGTTTCCAATGGAGACAATTTTCAGCAAAGTCCCTCTTCGCCACCCACAACTGCTGCCATTGATGAAGGTAGCTATCCACTAGATATGTGAATGCATTATTAGCTTCTTTGTGGAAGACCACAGCTCAGTATCCATTTGTATTTTGGGATTAATCTTACTCCCATTGGCACACACAGACAAATGCATGTATCTGTTCCAGTTGTAAGAAAATGATGTCAATTTTCCTCGACAAATTCAAAGATCCAAACTATTGAAGTATTAATCGTACCTTGAAAATATGTAGATTTGATTTATTTTTTATCTTTGCTTCAGGATTTACTTCACTTGGTTATATGTCTCCAAATAAGGCTTTGCGCGCTGCAATGCTAAAAAGCCGCTTTGCAGATACTATCTTCAGAGCTAAACATCAATCTCTCTTGGATCATGTAATGGATTCTTATTGCATGCAGAATTTTGGTATACATACTAGTTGGTTTTGGAGACTTACTAAAATCTCTGTTTCTGTTGATTTCTGATCAGGCTAAGAAGATTAATTCTGTGAATCAGGAGAAAGAAAGGGAGAGACTTGAAAGGCTGCAGTGTGCAGGTGATCTAAGCATATCCTCATTTCAATGTTATGGTGTAGTGTCATATTTTTATTAAAATGTTGCCTTCCTGTTAAAATTTTAGTGGATGATTTTTTATATTTTGTCTTTTTGGGATTCTATTATTTTGTATTGAACTTCTTTTTCTTGTGATTGATAGATGTGATGCAAAGCATGTAGCAGAACATGAAATTTTAATTATATAGTCTTTTGTGAAATGTGAAGCTATTCTGTAGTGTGAATGAAATTGAAGATGGTTCAATACTTTTCAATTAGATGTCTGACTTTCATTCTGTTCTTTTATGATATGAGTATTGCATTAGTATTTCCCTTGCTTAGGGAATATTTTGTTTACACTGGATGTTTGACCGTCTGCAGATAGGGCTAGGATTGCAGCAGAATTTAGAGCTGCTGAAGCAGCCTCACGAATGAAGGCAGAGACGGAATTGAAGATGCAGCGTGAGAGAGAAAGAGAAGCTGCCAGAATTGCAGTAGAAAAGGTTTTTTTTTTCTTTTTAAATTCTTGGTCTTGTGCGGTTTCTGTTATTATTTGCCTTGTGGATACTGAAGAAAAATTTTCTTCATTTGTTTCACTCTATGTAGATGGTAAAAACTGTCCACATTGATGAAAATCAAGGGATTATGGAGGACCTTGAGGCAATAATGGGAGCCATCAGCAGTGGTGACTTGAGAAACCCTCTGGAGCAGCTTGGGCTGTTCATAAAGGATGATTACATGGAAGATGATGAAGATGCCATTTTGCGAGAAGAGGGGGAAATTCTTTCATAGCCCTACCTGCTCCCGTATATTTTTCCTTTCATACCTTGCATAGATTGGGAGTGAAGGTGTTAATTGTAAATTAGTAAAATCTTCTTGTCGGCTGTTAGGGAACGAAAGGCTGAGATCTGTAATTAGTCAAAAAAACATTGAAAGTACAACATGTGAATAATTTTAAGTAGATGCAGTCAAACAAACATTGAAAGTACAACTTGTGCACAATTTTGCTTTGATGCAGTTATCTAGTTGTAGTAGTTAGAATTTGTGTTGTATATCAGTATACTGAGCATGATGCTTCTATTGGATTGATATTTGCTGCATATCATAAAATTTTATAATGTAGCTTGTCTATTACCCAGGAGAATATGTTCAAGAGTTGAAACCTTGCGCTTCAGTCCCCATAGTTACAGTTGTTGGAATAGTAGTATTCGTAGGTGTAGTTGGATACCCGTGGGCTTATTTAGTTGTGGGGTTCCATCCTTTGAGTTCCCAGTTGTCTTTTTATTCAATCTTTCCACTTGAGCCTATTACTTAGATGAAACGGCCACACCGGTGTAAATTCTAGTAAGGTGTCGATTTTGAGTTATGCATGGTTGTAAATATACCTCTTTATGCACTTTAGGAATATTGGTGGACCACAGATAACTTTAGACAAAGAACTTGAAATTGGAAATCACAAGTGATTCATTTGATTTGGATGTAAGGAATTTATTGAGTACCTTGAAATTTTTCATAGAATTTATTCTTAAAGTTCATTGTGCAATCCAAATAAGAATAAAGCAGCATATATGTAACATTTACTGTACCTGTAGCTATCCATAAAAAAAATGAATATTATTATATTTATTGTTACATCGATTTCATTATCGAATTAAGAATAGGGAGTCAAGATATAATTGTACACTGGGTTCCAAAGAGTGAAACAATGGCCATAAAATCAGGCACTTGAGACAATTTGCCAGAATCTGCTGGAAATTCTAGACACCAAACTAACGGCTGATCTGTGGCTATGATACTTCAGCCCCCGTGAAAGAAATCCTTTTTTGTTTTGTTTAAAACCGTGGCAGAATTAGTTGCATCAAACATTGGCCTTGGTGGCAAAATTGATGAAAAATGAATTTTATAATAGCGACATTCTGAAAAATGCGTGATTAAAAAGTATTTAAATTTTTGAATTTACGTACAAAATTATTTTATTAAAAGAATGTATAATTGAAAATAAGTTTGTAAAAACATGAATTTTTAGTGAATTCAATCAGTAGCTAAATTATAGGTTCAATTAAATACAAAGAATTATGACATATTTAATTCGAATGCTGACACATAAACTGATGTTTACAACCACTAATACTAGATATCATTATTCTCTTGGTTAATGTATACTCAGTGAAATCGCTTCCAAGTAATTTCTTTATTTCTCCAACATCTTTTAACTTCGCTTGCTTAATTTTTGTCTTGCAATTAATTTTCTTAATCTCGATATGTTGACATACAAAAAATGAGACCCAATTAAATGGTCTCCCAATTAAGAAATTTGAAAGATGAGCCCAAACGAGACCATATAAAAACCCAAGACGGAGTTATGTAATGGAGGCCCATCATCTCTCAAGCCTAAGAGACGCCCAGACACCAAAGACCTGGGCGAGCCTGTCATCGCTCAAGCCCGTGTGAAGCCCAAGATCTGGGCGAATATAGTGTTTTGGTTACTGTTCGAATCAATGGTTATTGAAACAATTAATGAGTAATCTTATCACATTCCATGATTCAAGAATCGATTGCAAGAAGTTAAGTAATGAGAGTAATGACAATGGTTGAAAACAGTAGTTTCTTGACAAGTCATCCATAATGGAAAATGTGGGTAGTTACAGAGCGAGAAGCAGTTTTCAAACGGCTCTACAAGGAAAACTGTCAAAGAAGTATAAAAGAGAGAAAATTTTTGAAGAGACAACGAATCAAATGACTCTCAAATAGAAAACTATGTAATTTTTTTTTCTTCTTGTTAACTTTCAATTACTTTGCGAATTCAGTGTGCTTGTGCCCCTTGGAGGCATTTCACTTCGTCCATATTGTAATCATCCTAAATAAAACACCCCTCGTTGGGACTTTGTCTCAAGAGGTTGTTATTCTTTACATAATCGTCTGAACCCACTTTTAATTGTTAGCGATGCTCGATTTCCACGCAAAATAATTTGGCACTCCCAATGGGACCCTTGGTGTTTGAAGATACGAAAAGTAAAGCAATATGCCTCATAAAAACTCTAATAAGGACCCAGAAAGCCAACGAATAGTCCAGTCTGTGATGAACGATATGAAGAGCAGCAAAGTGCTTCACGAACAGAGGGACAGATTCAAAGTCGTTACGAGCTAATGACAGAATTGAGTCCTCGAACTATGAGTGAATTGCTTGGGGAACTCACACAAGATGTTGAACAGGTAAAGTTACAGAATGTTCATAATATGGAAAGATTTGCTCAATACGGAAATGTACACTATGGCAATATGGCCAAATATCTAAACACTTTGAATGAAATCATGAATAAGTTAGTAAGCCAAAATTTTCAACCAGGTATGCCATGTATAGGGAACCACTTTCAAGCCGGACGGTTATGGGACATAATTCCCGAGTCCTGGGTCCGAATCAAGGAGTAGAACCGCCTTTTGGACCATCTACTTCAAATCGGAGGGGTAGTGGAATGACAAATTTGAATAGTGGTAATGCAATATCAAACCTGGGGGTAACCCAAGTGCGAGAGACAATGTTCAAACTAATGAACAGAACACCTCGCGTGTTAATGATGGCGGAAATATTCAAGCTAATGGTAACAATGGTTTAAATAACAATGTTTTTGATGCAAACCAAGGACCAAACATGGGGCCTCAAGTAATTCCACCAATGAATCAACCTATAGGAGTTCTATATGATCCCAACGTTGTGTTGAGGAATCAGATTATGGAGATAGTACAAGATCAAATGGTTTTTGGGATATGTCCTTTTATTAGACCGACTTGCACAAATCTATATCCTAATTGGGTAGATCAAGAGTATCCATGGCCTAGAGGGTACAATGTACCAAAATTTTCATTATTTACCGGTCCAAGAGAAGTTTCTACTCTGAAACATATAGGGGGATTCACACTGTAAAGTGGTGAAATAACTGATTATCATAAAATGAGATTGTTCCTTAGTTCGTTAACAAGAGTAGCTTGCTCATGGTTCATTAATTTGTCGGCAAATTCT